AACCCCCACCTGTCTATCTCGGCTCTCCTCACTCACAGGTAAACACCCACTCACCTGTCCATCTCGGCTCTCCTCACTCACAGGTAAACACTCACCTGTCCATCTCGGCTCTCCTCACTCACAGGTAAACACCCACTCACCTGTCCATCTCGGCTCTCCTCACTCACAGGTAAACACTCACCTGTCCATCTCGGCCTGCTTCTTGGACAGGTCGAGCTCGCGCTCGATGGCGGCGATCTGGTTGCGCAGCGTCTCGCGCTGGCCCTCGACGTCGACCTTCTGGTCGTCGACGATGCGCAGCTTGCGCTGCATGTTCTCGCGCATCTTGGCGAGCCGCGCCGCGTCCTGCCGCAGCGCCGCCACCTCGTCCTCGCGCACCTTCAGCTCGGACTGCTTCTGCGTGTTCTCCGACGCCATCGAGTCGGTGGTGATCAGCTGCGACTCGTAGTCGGCCTGCAGCTTCTGGAAGCGCGCCTAGAAGGAAGAGGAGAGGGAGGTGAGAGGGAGGAGGAGGAGGAGGAGGAGGCGTGAAAGGGAGGGTGAGGAGGAGGAGAGGGAGGAAGAAGAGAGGGAGGAGAGGGAGGGAGAAGAGAGGGAGGAGAGGGAGGGAGTCATACGCAGAAGGGAAGAGATGGGGGATGAGAGAACACTGTACACTGCGTACGAGAGACAGGTAACTTTGCCACATTTCTGTCATTGATCGAGATCAATTCGGTTGATCGTCCGCATGCAGAACGTGAAGCCCACCTGCAGTATGTCCTGGTCTTTCACGGTCTTCTCGAAGAGCAACCTCTGCTCCTTGAGGTGCATTTCTAGACGGGTGATGTCCTCCTTCCCCCGTGCGAGACCCTGCTGCATCTGCTTGATGTCGTTAACCTTCTGGTCGCAGTCTATGTGCGCCTGCTGCAGTTCTCTCTCCAGTTTCTCCTTCTTTCGCGACTCTCGCTGTATCTCGTTGTTTCGCACCTATACGGGGATCAGACAACTTAGAACCTAGAAGCTTAATGACTAGAAGCCTTACTCGTTCATTGTCTAAGAATTAAGTCATCTGTCGTGCGAGATTGCCCTCCCACCTCGAATCTGTTCTTAGGTTGGCCAAGCTAGACCAGTTTATATGTGTTTCTCACACGTGCATGACAAAGTGTCAAATTTGCCGCACTTTATTACTAAGCAACATTTTTACAACGCCCCCATCGTGATGCTTATTGGATAGAGCTACTTGTCGATCCTTATTCCAGGCAGGTTTTTAAATGCTTTAACGGGAACGTGCAAACCGGCAGCTTTGTTATTGCAACCGAGTTCCCCAACGCGATCCCTCCACATACAAGAATGTCTCGTTTTCTGTCGGTAGATGGCGCACCTGCACATCTTGGCTGAGTTCGGTGATCTTCATCTGGGCAGCCGTGAGATCTTCGTCTATCTTCTGCTGTCTGTCTGTCGTCTCTGTTAGCTGAGATCTCAATGTGGTGACTTCACCCAGCAGGTCGTCTCTTTCCTGCAAGACAATCATAATTACTATATGTCAAGTGATAGATCGGAATAATTGGAGTTGAATGATGAGGAAAGTCGGTGCATGTAATCATTACATTAAATTCAATTTACTGTTAATTTTTTACATTTATCTATCAGGTTATTATAGTAACGTTAATTCCCCTCCTCTCCTTCTCCTCATACTTTTTTTCTCTTCCTCCTCCTTCTCCTCCTCCTCCCTCGTTTTTCTCTGCCTCCTCCTCCTCCTCCTCCGCCTCCTGCTATTTCTGTGTATTTTTCTGCTCAGTTTCCACATTATATGTACCCTCTCCTATTTCTTTTCTCATTTGTCTAATTACCTCGTTAATCTAGTGTTTAATTCTATTAGGCTTCACTATACATCCTGCATTGGCTCACCCACCTGCGAGCCGACACCTACAGCAGCATGTGCGGTCGCAGGCACACTGAAATACATACTCACCTTTGTTAGTTCATCCTTGATCTTGAGAAGCTGATTAACACTGTGCTCGGTGCCCATGCTCAGGCCTGCTCCCTGCTCTACGAGCTTGCTCAGGTTAGAGATCTCAAGCTTTAGAGCCTACAGTAACAGTGCAAATCATCTCGTTAAGCTGCGTATTATGCGATGACACTGAGTAAGCCCAATGAATGGAACATACAATGACAGCGAATAGAAGTATTGGGGATATACTGCAGTTACTGCATCACTGGCAGTAAGCATTGAATTTTTATTGTCTAACCGTGCTACCATGGAAGTTCCTTGTGGTATTATCTAACCTCTCCTCACTAGAAATGAGGCAGGAAATGATACTGCATTCTTAGGTTTCATGTAAACAATGCACTAGTTTAGCTTGGAATACTGCCAAACAGTTTGGTGTACCTGAATCGTCTCCCTGGCTTTGGTTTCCTTTTGGTGTGCAGCATCAACCATCTTCCATGCCTTCTCGATTTCTTTTTTGAGGGAGGAAATGGTAGTTTGGTCCTCCTTTGATAGTTTCAGTGCTGTCTGCACTTTTGTTGCATTGGCAACGATATCGGCATTTAACTCCCTGCATTTGTGCATTAACCTCTTCTCGCTGCAATCAGAAAACGTCATTAGAGTTATTATGAAATGCCTAATGAGACCCATATTGAATGTTTGTAATCGTGAGGCAATTAACAGGTTATATTCACAGCAGGTAATGCAGTGCACTAAAGGCTACAGTAACTATAGATCTGTATGCAGTACAGGCTATTGCCACCTGAGAAAGCAACATAGTAACCATCTGCAGTTATAATCTCAATAAAAAATTATATAATTTTGTGAAATCTACCCGTCTTACCTGTCATGTGACTTCTGCAGTGCTTTGTGTAACTTTTCATACTCGGTCCGGAATTTGTCAAGAGCACTATCACCCAGTAACTCTTGCAACGTTTCCTAGTGCGAAAATTAACCTTGTCACAATTTAATACTCGCCTTAAACGGTAATAATACAATGTAAGGCATGAGTTATAATTACTAAATTAGTCTAAACTTACCTGAAACTCCTTCTCAAGTGCCTCAAAAGCACTATCATCGATGAGTGCCTTTGGATCCACAGGATCGTGTTTCTCATTTTCTGTTGAATCACTCATTTTATATTTTATTACCACCAGTAAAACAAATCATCACTCACGCGAAGAAACATCCATGATCGCGTCCTGCGCGCTCCATAGCAACTGTCGCGATAACAGCGCCCTAAACTGCAGTGGTAACGATTTGAACTAATGAGAACCTCGCGCGCGTGCTCTCCGACGCGCCGCTGAGATCACTGGCTGAGATGCGCGGACCCACGCCCACAGTGCATGGCCGTAGCCTGCGGGGGAGGGGGAGGGGGCAGCTGCCCTTAGATTTTAAAGCAAAATTAAAAAAATAAATTGATCTACTAAAAGAGAATTGTCGTAGTCAGAATGAAGGCTGTACATGTAGGCCTACTCAAAAGTGCCTCAAATACCATCTCCTGCGATCTACATTTTCAAAATTTTCTGTGGGGGGACCCCCAGACCTCCCACCTGTTTCTCACTCCCTCCTTGAAATCCTGGATCCGCCACTGCCCCCCCCCCCTAGGAATTTGCTCAGCCTACGGCACTGCAGTGATACAAGACTTAGACACTAAAAGTATGTTTGCAGTAAACGCGGTATAATATAATTGTATGACGTTGAATGTTAGTTACATCCCTTCATATACTGTATCTAATGATATGTTAGTAATCTAATCGAAAGCGCAATTATTCATGCTGCGCGCATAGTGGGATTATTAGGTGAGATTCTGATGAAATCATTTTGGGGAATATCGGGTAGGTCCCCATATGGTTCGTCAGTGTGTACTTATGGGAGACAAATTATGAAGGGGAGGAGAATGAGGAATAGCACTGAAGATACATAACACATATAACCCTCATAAATTTATAAATATCTTTAGTTCAATCATTTATGAATTTTTATTGATGAAGATGTAAACTATCATTCGTTCAGAATAGCGAACACATATGGCTTGGATAGGTATTTTATTATTATTATAATATTGTTATTATCAGGGGTACGTGAATTAAAACAAATTTTTGTTGTTTTTATTCACTCCTGTTATTATTATCATCATTTTTATTTATGGATATTGATTAGTTATTATTTCATAGATTTATTCATACAGTTTCTATAAATGCGCACGCACACGTACATTTATATAGATACATTCACACAGGATTGTATTACTTACACACAGGTCTCTAGTTTCTCATAGAGGAAATCTTGTGCTATCTACTCCTAATGTAGATTAATGAGTGTAGTGAGATACAGGGAATGGCGGAAAATTACATCTACGGACTTATTTTGCCTACGATCCCAAGTGCAGATTTATAAAATAAAATTTATAAAATAAAAAATACTTTTAACTATAAATGATACGTAATAATACTATTATCTTTGTATTTTGCAATTTATAAATAAGTTCTACACTAGACCTGCTCAGGTCGAATCGTGATATCAAGAGCGTACATAGCGTACATAATTAATACGCTCTTGATGATATCAAAGTAAAAATCGTGTTTTACATTCACGCTGGAAGACATTTTAGTGCACCATGATGAAGACTCCGTCTTAATACCATCAAAGAATCGAGCCGAATATACGTACAACAAGAGAGTGAGCCGACATCGCCCGTGTTTACACAGCGAAGGTCGAATTTGGGGGCGGCATAAATAACACGACATCACCGCGCGTTTATATAAATATCCAGGCCAAAAAGATTGCGTCATTCGAGATACGTACGCAATAACGTCACCAATTTCGTTCGCGTTGACGTGCCCCCCCCCTCCCCGTAGACATATAGGAGAATAGTAGGCCTATATCTCACCGTGGCGTTGTTACGAAGCTCTTCTAAGCTAAGCCCTACAGCTAGAATCCATGGGGAATAGAAGAGGATAATATCAAGAGCTAATAATACCTATTATTAGGTATTATTATAGGTATTATTAGCTCTTGATAATATAGCCAT